CCCCGCGGACCTGTTACTGGAAGTCCGAGGGCTGGGCCGCCCCTCCCGTCCCCACTTCCTCCAGCCCCGCCCCACCCCCTGCGGCCCGCGCGTTTATGGGAACTCAGGCCTGGACGGTTTCTCTGAAATCGTTTCTCTGCCTCTGCCCTCGATTAACCCTGGCGACTGCGAAAGGGACCCAGGCTGGGCGTCCAGGGAACAGGAGTTGGAGGGACAGAGGGGTTCCCAGGGACCCTGACCGGGGTCTGGTCCCTCCCCCGACAGCTTCTATTTAAACTTGACTTGCACAGATCCAACCTCGGGGATCCACCCGCAAGGTCTGGCCCGGCCTGCGGCGCTGCTGTGGGATGTGCCTTACAGGGGAGGAGAGGGCGCCCTCGGCCTAATGCACAGCTAAGGGTGCAGCAGTCCGATTTACACCCGGGCCCATTGGGCCCCCAAAGGCGCCCTGGGCCCCAAGATGTCTGTGCTCAGGGCAGAATGTGGGGGAAATGCCGAACCGAGGGTCCTAGTTGGGAAAGCGGCTGTTTTCGTGCATAGCACAGCGATCCCAGCTCAGTATGGGGGCAGGGGGCGCTGAGAAAGGCTGTTCTAGTGAATGACTTCGAGTTAAGGTCACAAAGCCCCTGCACGTTCAGGCAACTTCATGCCTCAACCCTGTTCCCACCCAGCGCACACGCATGCTTGCACACTCAAAGTCTGACCAAATTGTCCTCAATCCCCCCACCCCTTATTGGGAACTGAACCCAGGGCCTTTGTGGCCAGCTACATCCGTAGCCCTTTTATTTTTAATCACCCCAGGCAGGGCTGGAATTTGTACTCCTGCCTCAGCCTCCCAGAGTGCTGAGATAACAGGGGCACGTGCCACCACACCTGGCTATCCTCAGCTCTAAATGGGGTCCCTTGGGGGTGAGCCGGAGGTTCTGTGGGAAGCACCCCCCCATCTGCACCTGTCAGGTGAAGGAAGCAGGTCTGGGCCTGGGAGAGCTGCTCTGTATTCTTTGAGGTCTTGACTATCCCACAGGGAACGCCGGTGCTGATCCTGGGGTGGCTTCAGGGCTGAGGCCTCCTGTCACTGGCTGACCCTTCACAGAAGCTGCCCCAACCCCATGGGACGGGACACTGGGCAAGGAGTTCTGTTGAGCAGAGGGTAATTCCCGGGGTGTCTGAAAGCATTTCCAGATGCTGGGGGGATGGGTCCCTCAGTCTGGAAAGGGCATCTGGGCCCCAAAGCGCAACCCCAGAACAGTGTCTCCCCCAGCAAATAGTCCTTGAGTCTCTCTCAGATTGGAGGCCAAGACCTTGAGAACTTTGAGTTCACCCCTTCATGTCACAGAAGAGAAAGCTCTGGGCGGAGAGTGGAGAGGAGTGACAGCAGCTTCGAGGACAGCCAGGGTGGTGGTTTAAATGGTCCGTATATTCAGCTCATGCCCATGTCCTGGGCTGTTCTCGGCTCTGGGCACTGAACACAGCTGGCAAAATGCCTGGCAGGAGGGGGGCGGTTCTGACAGGAAACAAAGTGCTGTAAACTGTGCAGCGCACCAGGCCAGGTGAGGATGAGGAGGAAAACAAGGCAGGGGAGGGGAGGGGAGTGAGCCCCTGCCCTACCATTCTCGAAGGGCCCTGAGGACCCCTAGGGAGACTGTCCAGGCATGGGGAAGAGCCGGTGCAGAGGCCCTGAGAGGCAGTGGGACACAGCACAGGCCAGTGTGGCCAAAGAGAGGAGATCACAAGGACAGGAAACCAGGGAAGGTCCTAGGGGTAAAAAACAGGTCCCATAGGGCCTTGGGGGCCATACTGAGGACTTCGGGGAGGACACAGCATCTATAGGGTTGCTCTAGGCTGGACATGGCAGCAGGAGCCTGCGACAACAGCATTCTGGGAGGCTGAGGTGGGAGGACACCAAGTTTGAGCAAGCCTAAGCAAGTTAGTGGCTTAGGAAGACCCTGTCTCAAAATTAAAAGGGGAGCTTGGTGCAGAGGCCCTAGGTTCAACCCCCAGTACCATAATAAATAAATAAATACATTAAAAGTCTCTCTCTGAAGCTGGGCATGGTGGCGCACGCCTGTGATCCCAGCACTCAGGAGGCTGAGGCAGGAGGATCGCTGTGAGTTTGAGACCAGCCTGGGCTACATAGTGAGTTCCAGGTCAGTCTCAACTACATAGTGAGACCCTGTCTCAAAAAAAAAAAGTCTTTCTCTGGCTGTTTTGGGGGACAGACAGTGGGCTAGGGTAGAAGCAGGAAGTTCCAGCAGGGAGGAGCTTGGAACAGCCAGGAGGGAGGGGTGAGGAGCGGGAGTTTTGGAGATGCGCCCCTGGCATCCGGCATGTGTTGGAGCTGGCAAGGCCCACAGCGCCGAGGAGAGAGGTGACGCCCCTAATTTGTGCGATTGCGCCCCTCCAGGCCTCTGCACATCGCTGTAGTGCAGGGCAAACTGCCTACTGTGCACTGGCTGGTGACCCTTTTCCAGCACGGGGGCCGAGAGCTGGACGTCTATAACAACCTGCGTCAGGTGAGGCGCCTGTGCGCTGGGGCTGGGGCTGGGGAGGGTGGGGAGGTGCCGCAGACTCCCCTTGTGGCTGGGACTGAGAGGATTCCAGGACCTGACTCCTGGGTGAGGGAGGTGGGGGGCCCAGAACTCTGGGTCCTCGCGGGGGAATCGGGGAGAGGCGCCCAGAGGAAGGCAGGCTGGGACGCCGGGCGGACATCCGTCCCTCACGGTCACTGTTCCCCAGACCCCGCTCCACCTGGCTGTGATCACCACGTTACCGGCCATGGTCCGGCTTCTGGTGACGGCTGGTGCCAGCCCCATGGCGCTGGATCGCCAT